TTATGGATTAAGTCTAAATCATTCACGATATCCATCAATATTTTCAATTTATTTTTCCAATTAAGTTCAATAAAGTTTGATTTCAAATAATTTCTAAGATCTCCTTCGTTTGCATATTGAAATACCATTAAGTATTCGTTAGTGGTTGTGTTCTGTGTTAGTCCATATACTTCAAGTCTTATATATTCACTATCCACCAATCTACATCGCATGTAATTTTTAAACTTGTTTGTCAAAACAAAAAATTTTAAATTAATTCATTATACAATAAAATAATTTTATATTTAGATATAAACAAATAAACTTACTTCTTTTAAAAAATTCATTTGAGATCCAGGCAATGTCTTGAGTGCAACTTTATATAAAGGCATACGCTGTATATTTTTATCTTTGCTTAAACTTCTTTTTCCATCTATCCATATTGCTGAAAATACTGAACCAAATCCTCCTTCGCCAATTTTTTGAATATTATGTAATTTATCGAAAGGAATCCATTCAATCATTTCTTCACATCTTGTAGTTTCAAGTTGAAATTTCTTGATACAATCATCAACATCCTTATTTCCACTTGTCCACTCCTGAATCTTTATTGAATGATCATATGCTCTTGAAATTTTTTGATTACAACGCACACAACTCCCATGCATGCCGATATAATTTGTTTCAGGACTATATCGATCAAATACTAAAACATATTCATTGGTAGTGGTGTTTTTGGTTATTCCATATATTTTAATTTCGTTATTTTTTAATCTAATATACTTTAACTTATAAATTATATGAAATGAACTTTAATATACCATTTAAACAAATCAATACACAAACAAGATTTAACTTACTTCTTTTAAAAATTTTAATGAATTTTGGGAATCGGGAAATAGTTTAAGCGCAACTATACTTGATAATGAACGTGATCGTACGTATTTATTATTCTCATATTGAATTATTCGCACACCATCTAACCATGTTGCTAAATGCGTTTCACCACTCATCTCAAAGTTTCTTAATCTATTAAAAGGAATCCATTCAATCGCATCGTCATAGTTTTCAGTTTCAAGTTGAAGTTTTTTAATGTAATCATCAATATTTTTATCTCCACTTGTCCACATCTTAGCTAATTTTTGTGTATCACATGTTTGACACCATACTTCTGAAGTGTTGTAACGATTACAATATTCACATTTTCCATACTCATAATTCCTTTTCAAACTAAACTTTTTGGATAATGACAATAATAATTCAAATATAAAATCATACGCTTTATTATAAATTCCTTCAGCGTTGCTCTCCCGTGGTCCACTTACATTTAAATGATTTATTTGATGTTCATTTAACCAACCAAGAACACGCTTGACATTTTCTTGATGATTATCACTTAAATAGACTATTATATATGGTTTTTCAAATTCTTTAACCTTGTCTATTGTATACTGTGTTCCTCTATCAATTTCATTTTTTTCTAAAAGCAAAATTAAAGTTGCTTCTGAATCTTTAACATTTAATTCCGTTCTTTCAGAATATTGTTCTGTTTCAGTTTCCTTAAGAGGATATTCCATTGGAATTTGTCCATCTTCTGCTTTTCTACCTTTTGGACACCATCCAGAAAAATTAATAGTTGTATTATATTTATTTATTTCAAGTTTATTAAAATCTCTGGCAACATCTAATGCGCCTCTATCAACGCCAGTCTGCCCACCAGATCTAATAGAAAAATTTAAATATTGCAACACTATTACAAAATCTAGCATAACTTTTATGAAAAAATTTATATCTTATTAATAAAAGCAAATAAATACACTGTAATATATACAGAGAGACCTCTCTAAATGCCCCTCGGGGGTATAGTGAAAAATTCTAAAAATGTGCACTTAGAGAGTGTGTGCATTTATAGAAAGAAAAATATATAGTGTAATTATAAGTTGGGACTAGATTATACTGTGTATTTAAAGAGATTTTATATAAAGGGTGCATATTATTATTGGCTTATATCTAGAATTTGGCCTAGCTTTATTCTTATGGATAAAGATGCTGGTGAATTAGCGGCTTTAGGGGTTTGGTCTCAGATAGCAAAAGTTCAACTTTGTTTGTGGCATATAGAACGTGCCATTGAAAGAAAGCTAAAAGAGAAAAAATATAAAACCAGTCAATATATGCAACAAGCAGCCAACGATGCTAAAAGACAATTTGAGTTTATCGATGAATCTTGGCTTCTTGGAGAACAAAAAAGTAATATATGCCCTAAAGAAAATATTAAAGAAATTTTAATAATGGTTAAGAAACATGCATTATTGCATTCTCTTATTCTAATCAACAAAAGAACATTTCTTACCTCAGCTGAAATATACCATCTAAGTGTTTGCGAAGCAAATGAATATTGTAAAAAAAAAACCTTATTCATCTATGGAGCTATTTATAGGTCAATAGGTATAAAAAAAATTATTGGAACCTCTTTGCTCGGGCTTCCTATTCCAATGCATTACCATTAGCAAAAACCACTATGTTAGTAGAATCGCACTGGCATGCTCTCAAACATAACTATAAATATAATACCAATTGACCTCGCTTAGATCATTTAACACATATTTTAATACAAGAATTAATTCCTGATCGAATATATGACTGGAATAGATTTGATAACAATCGTGCATTTCTATCATGGTGGAATGCATTCAAAAGCAATTGGAAAACTGCATTGGAAAAAGAAATTAACATAGAGGGAAATATCTTACTGACATTAATAAATAGATTTGTTTATGCCCTGCATTCCTTGAAAGTAACTACATGTTATGCAACACCTTGTTAGAAACTATACCACTATACACCCAAATTTCTTCCCTAAATTTATGACTACAAGATGAAAACATGACTACCCATTTATCTACTTTGGCAAAGAATATCTTCCAACAATTGATCCATCAAATAATCCCTAGAATAATGAAAATATTGAAGGTTTTTTATGTGAAGTTGAAAGCGTAAGTGATAATATAGAATTAAATATTTATAACCAGAATGAATTGATTGAATTTAGAAAAGCTGAGCTAGAGGAGAATAAAAAAGTATTTGAATCTTTAATAACTATTGTTTCAGATAATATTCAAAATAATCATTTTTACAATGTATATGTAAAACTAAAACGAACCTTAATTTCTGAAACAGTAGCCTGTCAGGAGGCTTTAAGAGCTAGAAGGCAACAAAAAACCTGGGACTCTTCTTGTGGATCAAAACTTGCCTTCTGGTTGCAATAAGTAATCATTGTAATCCCTATTTTAAAAAAAGTTGTAATAAATTTATTCTCGCTTTTTAGTTATACTCTTACAATTAAAAATTTCTTAATATAAATAACATTATTACTTATTATTAGTAATAACACCAAACGGTAAGATCTTGGTTCAAAAGTCTTTAAAATAGAACAGTAATTATTTGTTCTGTAACGAAAAAAATTTTCTGCCAGGTGTAAAGCCTTGTGCAACAAACCCGGGGCCGATTTGAAGTGTCGATCCCTCAGAGATCACGTTACCGCCAATTTTTTGCGCCATCACTATGCTATCCTTTATCGTATGCCCCAATAGTGATGTTATTCAATGTTTATATATGACCGTGTGAAGTTTTTTCCGCTATATTTTGCACAAATAATTACATAATTTCATGTAATGATCTGCGTTATGCCACCTAAAACACCTTAAAAAAATTTTCTACTCAATAGGTTGCCGAAACTTTAACTGATTTTACCAATTCAAAACTTTTAGTGCAACAACAACAACAGAACCAATCATCAGCGAAAGTTGCTTTACAACAACAAATAAAAAAAAATTTTTTCCTGCGAATCTTAATATTTCAATTTCATTGAACGAAAAATGGAATCGCAGAATTCATTATGGTTTGATTAAATGTTAAAAGATGATGTATTTATTTTACGTTC